CAGAAGAGTTGTGGGATGACATCAAGAACATCATATGTGAAGAGAGTAAAAAGTCATTAAGAAGACAAGAAAGAAGGAAAAGGTCAAAATGGATGTCAGATGAGACACTGAAACTTGCTCTCCAGTGTAGAGATGCAGCCTGGGAAACCCTGTACAGGGTCACTATGAGTGGGAACCAACTCCACAGCACATCAGGAAGAAGATGGAATTTGACCCGCAGCCCAGTGATGCCTTAGGTTGGTAAAGCACTTCAAATTTTGGAATGTTCTTCTCCCTAAGTAATGTCTTTCTTTCTTGGTGCCTGTAGGTAGATTTGAATACTTAATAGCTGAGCCACCAAGGGACTTCTCAATTAACCTTAAAACAAAACTAAATAAAAAACCCAATTGCTGTGGAGTTGATTGGATTCATGGAGACCCATGTGTTAAAGTGTAGAACTTCTTTCTAGAGTTTTCTTGGCTGTAATCTTTACAGAATCAGACACTAGATCTTGGTCCACTGGATGAGTTGGAACAGCCAGCTGTTGGGTTATCAATCCAACACAAACTGTTTTCACCACCCAGGGACTTTTATTCAGGGTTGTTGTTGTTAAGTGCTGTCGAGTAGGTTCGGATCCATAATGACCCTATTTCTAAGGAGCAGCTTATAGGTTTGAACAGCTGACTTTGTGATTGGCATTCCAGAGCTGATCCTACAGCGCCACACCAGGAGTCGGGGAGGGGAAGCATTATTTTGCCAATAGTGCTTGCCCAAAGTCCCCACAGTTAGTTCTGTGCTGTGCCCATGAAATGTTATCTACACAAATTGTTAGCTTAAACTGGAGACCAAACTCATGTTACTGGGGACCAATTCACTCAATGTTATTGGCTTTGTTTTGCAGCAATGCCCTCGGAAAGTTGGCTACTGCAAACTTTATAGCCGCCCGCCAAAGGCAGGCAGGTTCCTGGCTGCCAACCAGAGAGACAACTCACTAGGACCCGCCCCCCGGAAACGCGCGAGTTCCTGGATCCGAGAAGTCGACGCGGGTGAGCGCTTGTCCCCAGGGCACGAGGAGTTGGGACCTGTTGGGGTGAGCGAGGTGGTCGCTCTGGGGTGCGAGCGAGACCGAGATGAGCTCCGGTGTTCGGGCAGCCCTGCCCTGCCGCTCCAACGCCAGTGGTACCGGCTCACAGCTCCAGCGTAACCCTTGGACCCTGGCTAGAGGCTGAGGCTACGAGGTGGGGTCCGGGTCTCTCCCTGAGGTCCCGCCGGCCTTGCTTGCGGATCCTGGTTCCCAGAGTGATGGTTTAGTCTAGTGTGAACCGGAAACGCGGTCTCCCACACGGTGTGGGCACAGTTTAGCTTTTATCTCATTGGGTATTCCAGTCCTAAATCAACGCAAGCAACGGGATTACATAGGGATTACATACTAATGCCACATTAAGGGTGTTTGCAGGTCTCTTTATGATTTTAGGGTGTAGGGCAAGTGGTCAGAAGGGTACACATGTGATTATCAGCTAAGAAAAATATGTGGTGGTTCTTACCAGTTAACTCTCTGTACAATGAATCAAGACCCCAAGGAAGAGAAATATGGGAAACTTTGGTTCCTTGTCTGTTAATCATGTAATATTTGGGTCAATAGAAAAAAAAAAAAAGACTTTTCCTTTCAGGTGCCTAAGTACACTGAAAAGCTCAACTCTGAATTGATTTGGTTATATGGAAAAGTTATTTCTAGGGTGAATGCTATGATAAACAAGAGTACAGATAGTCGTTTTAAACCCTGGGGAAACTTCATGGTCTTTATTTATAGTGAAGTTTTGCTTTGATTGGCATGCTTTCTGTACTTTACAAATTTTTTGTGGCGTGATCTTTTTTTTTTAATCACTAAAGGCAAGTTATCTGAAAATCAAGCAAATTCATCCCATTGTTTTCCTCTGCAATAAAAAATAAGTGCGTCATCTTTGTAAGCTTTTAGCAATAAGACTAGGCTCCTTTGTGCTAGGATAGTGTTAGGAATTTAGCTTCATTTTATCTTATGTATTACACAATCTAACTAGCTTATTCATCCTGGAAATAATAGATGGGGAGCCAAATTCAAAGATGTCAACTGCCTATTTAACATCTCTTAGTCCCAGCCACCTCTAACTGAACAAATGCCTTACTCCACCACACTTCCACACCCAGAACAAAAATCAAACTCACAAAATAACTATTATACTTTCCAAGGCCGGTGGTGCAAACTCACCAGCCACTCCTAGAACACCATATAGAGGGTCACTAAGAGTCAGAACCAACACAAAGGCACTTTACAACAACAAGCCCTCTTAAGGAATTCTCTCACCACTGTTCATCCAGTTTACGTTAGAAACCTGGGAGTCAAATTTGCATCCTTTCTACACTTGTTCCTCATAAATCTATCACCAAAAATCCTGTCAGTTATTTCTACATACTTAAAATTTTCTTCATACCC